CATAGATGGCTTCCTTGAAGTGTTTATATGAGAAAGGGAGAAAAGATATATGATGGTAGCTTGTATGGATAGCGAGATTGAGGGAGAGGTTTTTAAGGATGGAAAAGAAATAAATGGGTGAATTTGTAGGCATAAGGGAAGGAGACAGTAGATCAGGAAACACTGAGACTGGAAAAAGAGTGGAGATAACAGTGAGGGCTATCTGTTGGGAAAATGAGAGGGGATTAGATCAAGGGTGTATTCAAGAAAGGCCCATTTTCAACTGAGACAAGAGTGAGGGAGGAGTTATTAGAGGAAGATATCTATGTGGTATGAGATGGACTTACTGTTCTTTTCTGTAATGTTGCAATGATGGAATAGGGGATTAGTTAATGGGATACCAGTTCTAGAGCATATGAAAAGGACCCACGTTTATATCTGATGAACCTGCTTCTGTAAGTATAAATATGCAGAATGGAGGGTCCATCACTTTCCAATCCTGAACATTGCCAAGTCTTCTCTATTTCCTGTCTGCTTACTGCTTGGTAGAGAACATTAAGAATTTCTGAATCCCAGCTTCCTGGATCAAGAAGGAATTTCCTGAAGAATATCAAATTTCTGGAGAATTTGGCAATCCAGACTTTAGATAGGAAAGAGGAAATTATTGAGCTGTTTGGGGATTTAGGGGAGAAGAAAACCAAACGTGTAGCCTCACAACTGTAGCAACAAGGAATTAAATTGAATATGGGAGAGCAAAAGACCTAGATTTTGCCATTATATGTTTGGGATTTTTTTTTTTTGAGAAGGGTTGTTTGTTTGTTTTTAATTTCTGTAGGGAGTTCTGTAACCAATATCTATTGTTATCATGAATGCTTTCTTGGGAACTGGGAACTATTTTATACACATCTGAATAGAATGAGACATGAGCTTTTCCAGGTGTGTATATCCATATTCTGAGGTTTCTGGAGGAAATTCTGGATATGAGCAAAATGAGCCAGAAAAATATGATTTAGGATCTGCTTATAAGATTGAACACATAGCCTAGAATGTAAGATTCTGGACTTCAGTCTTCAGTGCTCTCCCACATTAGGAGTCCCCATGAGCAATAGAGAATGAGCATGATCATAGTAAAAGAGATTTCATAATAAATTTTTATATGGTAATCTGACAGTTGGGGCACTGCGGATTAAGACATAACAATTTTATAATGATATTAGAAAAAACTTACAGATATTTCAATAACAAACAGTAAAGTTTTCATATGTTCCAATAGATGTTTAACCCCTTTCAATGCTACTCTTTTAACTTTTCTTGTCAGGGTACAAAAATTGCACTAATGGAATCACCCATGTCACAATCACTCTGCATCATATGTCTGTCCTATCCAGTAAATGTCAAAATGTTTTGAAGCACCCCATCCTCCCCAGAAAAATGAAGGGAGAAAAAAAGTAAATCTCATGAAAAGAAAATAAATCAATCATCTAAACCATAATCTTTAGATGTAATTTTGGAAAGTCTATAGTAAATTCAGAATTAATAGCAATAATAATAGTATTCATTCTCTACCTTTGGAAAGAGTTTGGTCAAATAAAATTCCTTCACATTATACTTCATCATCAGCATCATAATTAAATATGACTTTCCTTCTGAACCTATTAAAATAGAATTATAATTGTCAAGATAAGCGTTTATTGTATTAACTAAATCTCTTCAATATGCAAAAAAAAAACCCTCTCCATTTAGGGTAAGCAGCTTATAGCTCCCAAACAAAATAAATAGCTTCCACTTTTCATTAAGGGAAGAAATTACTCATTTTTAGCCAAGACATAATGATGTTTCAATTTCTCTGACTTAAAAGTTCTCCCATAAATACTTTGTTTTAATGCTGACACAAGGATCTTTTTTTTTCCTTTTATATCTAGTTACAACTTTTGAATATTGCTATATATCTCATACAACAAATATGACAAGTTAATGCATTCATAATACATCAGGTAAAAATTGAAATATTATGTTTCTTTCATAATCAAGGCTAATAGCACAAGCTGAAAGTTTTGATTTGTTTTAGCAAATCCAAGTCAAAGAGTTTTATTTCTTTTTATATTCATCTATTCATGAGTTCATTCGTGGTTTTTTTTTTTAATACATGAATCTCAACCCTGCAAACAGATGCTGTCAACCTGGGGGCAAGCCTTCAAATAATATTAATAACTGTGAGTTTATTCAGGAATCTCATTAATGATTTATAAACATTAATTATGGAGTCTCAAAATATCTTGGGGAAGAAGGAAAAAGTTAATATGCTGATCTTATGGAGGCACAAAGGGTCCAACCAAGGTCAGCCTCTGTATGAGGGCCTTGGGAAGCAGGAGGGAGTGCAGAGAAGGGACTGACTCCTTCATCCTCAGCTCTCTTTCCAGATGTGCTTCATCTTAAGCAGAAATCACCTAGCACATCAACAAGAACATCAGAGAATTTGATGTTCAGACCTGTCAGGAAGTATCTCTATTCTAACCTATACCATAAAAAGAATCCCCACTGCATCACATGCACAATTGGTTGTACAGCCTACTGAAAAATTATTTTACTAAGTTAGAAAAAAATAATATACAAATTCATTTGGAAGAACAAAAAATCAAGAATTTCAAAGAAACTAAGGGGGGAAAATGTCAAAGAAGGAAATTTAACAGTACCAGATCTTAAACTGTATTTTAAGCCAAGAGCATTTTTGAAGTGTCAAATGGATTTTGATTATCTTAAATTAAAATTTTCTTGTATAAATAAAACCAATATAGCCAAGAGTAGAAGGAATGTGAAAAATTGGGGGAAAAAAACTTTCACAGACAATCTCTCAGATAGGATATGATTGTGTTGGAATACCGCTATGATATAAGAAATGATGAGCTGGTTGATTTGGAAGAACATGGAAAGACTTAGACCTGTGAAGGAAGATGCTATCCACCTCCAGAGAAAGAAATGACAAATAGAAATATGTATAGTATGGTCTTATATATATATATATATATATATATATATATATATATATATATATATATATATATATATATATGTATGTATATTTCTATCTATCTATCTATCTATTCATATTTAATTGTAGCCTTCTGGTGGAGAGGCAGAAAATAAAGTAAAAAGTCAACAGCAGAGAACAGAAGAAAACCTAGAAGGAAGCAAAGAACAGCTGAGTAGCTTTGAAATATATATAGTACTTATTATGTAGGTTTTATTGAAATGGAAATTTATTGTTTTATATGAATCCTCTCTTATGTTCTATTGTGTACATGAAATGTTCTTTCCTTTTCTTGTTTTACATTCAAGTTTAAAATGAATAAAAAATTTACATGTGCATGCACGCACACACACACACACACACACACACACACACAGAGAAAAAAAAACTCGTTGTACAGCCTTTAATTGAAAGCCTCCAGAGAACCAAGTGAGGTGGCACATGTCTATTGACCTTGCTTCTTGGGGATGCTGAGGCTAATGAATTGCTTGAGCTCTGAGTTCAAAGCTGAAGTAGGGTTAAAGCTGATTGAGGTTCTGAATTGCGTTTGGCATCAAGTGGGAGTACAGGGTGACCTAAGCTGGGGTGAACTAGCCTAGGGTTTCAGTTAGGCAAGGAGAGGAGAGGCAAAAAGAAGGAAAGAGCACCAACCTCCTCTCAAAAAGCCCATTCAACTTTGAATAACTAATTGTTGTGAATTGTTTCCTGATATTATCTACTATTGATTTCTTTGTATGTTCCACCCATTGATCCTGGTTCTGCCTTTTAGGACAAATGACTCCATTATTTTTTTTTATCACATGCCTATCAGTTTAAAATAATGAACATCCTTCCATAAATGCATATTCACTTACTTAAAATTATATATGTATATATATATATATATATACGTATACATATATATGTTTATATTACTAATTACCATATATGTTAGAAAACATTAAAATAAACATTTAGGAACATAAGATGAAGTTGAAGTCATATTTAAGCCTAGAGTCAAGAGGTAGCCACTAGACCTTATTAAAGAGGAAAGTTACATAATCAGAACCATGCTTTGGGAAAATCACTTGGGTAGTTGTGTGGAAGACTGACATGACAAGCATTCACTTTAGACTACCTGACTTTAAGTCTCAAATCTGCTATGTACTCCCTGTGTGATTTCAGAGAGTTCATTTAATCATTTTTGACTTCAGCATCTTCATTTGTATAACAGGAAGTCGGACTCCTGGATCTCTATGGTCCCTTTCAGCTCCTAATCATAAGAATGAATAAATAAATTTTAAGTAGTTACAAAATGGCATGGTATGGAAGGGACATTGTTAGTATACCAAGGCCAAACTGATATTATTCATATGAATATTTATATGACCTGTATAACCCACTCATAGCAGTTGTCAATGGGAGCAAATATCCCTAAAACTTCCCACAGTCAGAGAGATTAAAAATCAAAATCAATTCAGCCTGGAACAATCTCGGATCTCAAAGAATTAGAGAAGTACAGAATATGAGAGGTGGAAAGGACCTTCAAGATTATCCAGTCTAGTCCAAAGCCATCATTTTACAGATGAAGAAACTGAAATCCAGAAAGATGAGATTTTTTAGCAAATTGAAAGCCATTCAACTATCTAGAGTCACAGTTTTTTTGTGCCTCCACTAAATTGGAATTGAATTTAACATTCAACCTGCGTATTCACACTTATCAGAGCATAACGAGCAACATGGTAATCAGATTATCCTAAAGCAGGAGTGGGGAACCTGTGGCCTCGAGGTCCTCAAGTGGATTCAGTTAAAGAGCAGCACTTGAGGACCTAGAGGGCCACATGTGACCTCAAGGCTGCAGGTTCCCCACCCTTGTCCTAAAGCTTCAAGCTCAGAAAATACGGCATTCTCAGCTAAAAAGTAGTAACCTCCTGTGGGCCCTATCTTTGCCCTACTTCAAACCCTATTTGGGTAAACAGATTGCAATGAATATAATTACAGAAAGTGAGCTTACTTTTCCAAAGCACTTTGCTCTAATCTTTCAGCTTCCTTCTTCTGTCGCTCTTGATGCTTTCTGACACGTGATTCCCACAATCCTCTTATGACAGAAATGTCAAATACAATCACTTTATGTCCCATATTGGTAACATGAAGTTTCTCTGTTTAAAAAAAAAAAAAGGTTAGCTTCCACAAAAAGGGTTAATTTTAAATATGAGATTTACAATGGAAACAAAGTTAATGCTTTAAGAATCTATAATAATAGTCAAATGTTAATTGCTTAGAATAATACACATTGGACCTGCAGTGGGACCATGTACTACCAGCACAGATGAAATTCATCTCTCACTTAGCAGATAAGTTAATAGTTGCATAAGACACATAGCGATTGTGACTTGCCCAGAATCATGTAGCTACTATGTAATAATCAGAAACAGTACTTGGGCCCAGGTTCTCCTGTTTTCCTGACTCCCTTTAGCCCAAGACTCTACTTACAACAATAAATTTTACTAATATAATAACAGTTTTCCAACATGAAAGTAGTGATAGAAAACAAACCAAAAAGAATTTTAAGATGAGAATTATTAATATATGGGCTGTCACATAGTTTCAGAGGTTTATCAAAATCTCAATTAACTAAAAATACTTAGAAAATGAGGCTTTCCAATTATTTTAAATCTTTGGTTAACTGAAGCTTAAAATAGGGGGGAAAATTGGAATCCTTGTTAAAAATTTTTCTAAAACTCATCTACTTTCCTCCTTTAGGAAAATAATATTGTGAACATAAAAGATTCCTTCATTGATTATTCATTATCTTCTCTCTCCTAAAGTGATAACATCCTTATCTCTGTTCTATTATAGATACTGGGCAGTTACATGGAAAAGTAGAGAAAGTACCAGGATCAGAATCAGGAAGACTCACCTTCCTGAATTCAAATCTGGCACTTACTAGCTGTGTGACCCTCGGCAAATCACTCAATCCTGTTTACCTCAGTTTCCTCATTTGTAAAATGAGCTGGAGAAGGAAATGGCAAACCACTCCTGTATCTTTGCCAAAAAATAAAAAAAAAAAGGTGGGGGAAAGGGTCACAAAAAGTGAAATACAACTGAAAAAAAAACTGAAAATAACAACAAACATTCTTCCAGTTACATAGATTTGAAACATTGGTGCCATTTTTGTTTTTCTGATCCTCTAACACCAACTCATTCCATTAGGTACCCCTCATTTTGTCAGTTCTATTTGGATAATATCTCTTACTTCTGCTCCCTCTTCACTGTTCCTACTATCACCACCCTAACTGCAGCCTTCATTAACTTTTTTCTGGATCTTTAAAATGTTTCTAACTGGTATCCCTATGTACAATCTATGCTACTTGTGAATGCTTCAATTGAATCATGACATAGAATTACAGATTTAAACTCGGAAGGGACCTCAATGGCAGTCCAGGCCAATCCTCTCACTTCATAGCTAAGGAAACCAAGATCCAGAGAGATTAAGTGACTTCTCCAAGGTCACATAGTTAGCAAATGGTATATTGCAGGACTTGGACCTTGGTCTTCTGATTCCAAATCTTTCTACTACACCACACTTTTCTGTCTCATTCATTGGGTTATTCTGGGCTGGGTCTTACTCGGGTCAGATCCCTGGTACCTTAGGTTTAATACTGGAAGTGAAATGAGACATTCATAAATCACTCAACAGTTAACAAAAAGAGATTTATTTAACCATAGCAGAAAGATGTTCAACAATTATAGGCATTAAGAGTACCTCAAGTTGTTTCAGCTGAGTGAAACAATTTTGCCTGAATTGTCCATCATGATCCACTAGCCATCCATCTGAGTACAGCTGGAGCTCCTAATGACTTCATATTTAAGCAAGTAGGAAGTGACGTCAACAGTCTGAGCCTGTAGTCCCCTCAGCCAACCAACCCTTGAAGATGCTTTCAATATCTTTCAAGGAAAAACTAGTCTACTTAGCAATGGGGCAAGGTGTTAGATCATTTTCCTACCATAGAGATACTTCTTATGATGTGGATTTGAATTGATTCATACTTTCTGAATAGGCATGTCTCTTTAAAAAAAAACTTGAATGAATTTTGCCCAGTTTTCCATAATTTCTTTGAAGTGGGGTCTGCGCGGTGCAAAGAACCTCTTTAGGGGGTTAAAATTACATGGGTACTGTTATTTCTTCTTCCACTACATGGCAGTCACATCTATTCTGATCGTACTTCTCCTGGATGATGTTTTTGAGTTACATCCTGTGTGTAAACTACTTAATAATATTCTGTAGCCCATACATAGCTACCATATAACTTTCCTATAGTTGTCTACACAGCACCATCACCTTTTATATCTGGTTCATTTCCCACTTAACCAATGAAATTTTTCTAAGTTCTCTTAGCTAGAAATGATGTCCTATTGATCTGAAGTTTCACAATACTTCCCCTGTTGTGGCATTTATCACAGTCCACTTTATATTGTAAGGATTTATGTAATTGTTCTCCTCTTTACAATTATGATGCATCATTATGATATGAAGATGACCTGAGTAATTTAGAGTTATTTGAGGAGAGGTCAAGTTGTTGGGTTTAGAAGCAGAGGACTTGGGTTTCAATCCTAACTCTGCTGATTATTTAAAGACTGAAAGTCTTTAGGCAAGAGATTTTATGTACCTGCTATCCAAGAACAATATTTAATGGGGAATCTCATTACTAGAGAACTGACCATTATGTAATTAATTCTTTGGACATGGGAATCCATTAAACAAGTGTAATGAGTGACTGACCATTGAGAGAATAGTTCTGAGGAAGGAAAAAGGGACCCCATAGATATTTAGTGTTCCTACTTCTGAAAGCACCTGATGATGGAATGCAGGAGTTTGGCTCTCCACTTCCAGGCATGTGCATACAAGAGACACTAATAAGCCAAATCAGGCCTTCTTCCCGGAAGGTGAATGAGGCAAGAAATGCTATAGGCTTCCTGTTGGGCTCAAGGCCTCTGCCCTCCTGGGCCCTGACTCGCATCCAATTAATAGCCTTTTCTTCATCACTCTTTAAGCAGACAGGAAACAGTCACAGACTACCTGTGAACAATCTAAAGTGTATGCCTCCATTCTGCATCATCATATACTTCCAGAACTTGGGTCAATAGCAGGCAAAGCTCCTTGTGTATGGTCCCAGCACTAGGCCCCCACCCCTTCTTCTAGTTACACAGGTAAAAATATCTCCTTTTTTCTGTGTGTGTCTTTTTTGCTTCCATAGAAGCATTCACAGCACCAGAAAATGGGGCAGAAGTTATCCAAACATGTAGAAAAGTATCATTCATGATTAAAAAATGAAAGACCAAAAGCATCTACCAGCATTAACTAGCCCATTGCTACTCTTAATATAAGATCTTGGTCCACCAAAAAGTTGATGTATCTTTGAAAAAATTGAACCGTATCTATACAGACATTCGTCCTTATAAATGATCTCAGAAGATGTAGAGGAACAGCTCACGGTTTTTCCTCAGAAAGTCACATGGCAGGGAAGGAGAAATGGGGAGGCATGACATTGGTTTCATCATATATCCAAGATAAAAAGAAACATAATTTCACAACATTTTTAGCCATCTCACTTTGGATTCCTCAGTATAAGTATAAGCAAATACACCACCATGAGGTAATTATTACTTATACTTCAAACATTGTTGAAGCGGGTGAAGACATATAGAAATTATAAGAACTTAACAGAACCTCAAAACCAATACAACATATACATTGATATGTGGTGACATAGTTGTGAAAAAGGGCACTAGAAAAGTTGGAGAAAAATGTTGGAAAATGTCATTCGTGATTAAGAATGAAAGAGATCAAGGGGAATTGTAAACAAAAGGTTATTCAGAAGGCTTACCCCTATATATCACGAATACTTTCTTCAAAGAAGAAGAGTGTCAGTAGGTGAGCACTGAACATAAAAAATAAAATTAGCTGTGGACAACTGCTTGCTGAACTGGGAGTCATCTCAAAATGATCTATGTGTGTGACCAAATCATTGTTAAAGCAAAGGTCAAATTAGCATCGAATTATAAAAATGGTTAACAAAAAGAAAACACTACATGAAATTACAATAGTTTCAAAGCAAACTATTTACATAAGCTATTAACTTTGAAAAACGGTAAATGAATGCAAGTCAAAACATTGGCTCTGATTACTATTTTTCAGAGAATGTGTACAATTTAAAATAGTCTGTACAAAGAGAACACGAGAAGGGCACAGGGAACCACCTCAGACAGCAAGCACTTGATCTCCTAATAAAAGTGGAGAGAGATGACAGCCAAGGTCAACACAAGTTCAGTACACAAAATCATCTGGAAAACATTATTGAGAAGGGAGACAGACTAGGAGCACTTCCCAAACAGTGAAAAGCAGCAGGTGATAACATTTCTTCAGAAAGCTTGACATGAGAAACATTAGGATGAATAGGTATGAAATGGAACATATACCAGCATTACTATAGCAATCTAGTCTTATCAATGAGAGTAAAACCACCACTCTGGTAGCTTATGTGCTATGTAAGGAAATGGCAATGACAAATAAGAAGATAATTCTGACTCTCATATCTATAAAATATTATAAAGTTTGCAAGGTACATTCCTTCTAACAACCCTCTGAAGTAGATAGTAGCAGGGCTATCATCTCCATTTTCCAGGTTAGGAAAATGAGTCTATGAAACATCATGTGCTTCTGACAATTGGTAAAAAACAACAACAACAACAAACGACTGGCTGCACAGCTAGTAAGTATCCAAAGAAAGAATTGAACCCAGGCTTATTTGAATCCATCCAATCCTGTATCTACCCCATCTTGCGCCCTCTCAAGAAATTAAAAGAATAGCAAGGCTGACCAAATCCAAACAGATAACTTCTGTGCTGGAGGTGACAATTTTAAAGGTGTTCAGAGACCAATTTTCAATTTATCTATCTCAAAGAAGAGAAGGTGATGAAAATATGGAAAAGATCACAAATTATCTATAGAAGCAACTGAAAAGACATCAACAATGTCTGCTTATTTTTTCATCTCTGTAGAATCTTTATGAGACAGATTAATTCACATACTATTTTTTTAAGTATGAGAAGAGACAAGTCAGGTCTTTAGAGACAATGTTCTACAAAGACTAGATCT